GCCTCACTTTCCTGAAAGATTTCAATTTTTATTCCATCAATTCCTGGTGCCTTGTTCTTTGCCACTTCTTTCTTTGGGAAGCTAGCAGTCAAAATTTAGAGTGCAGCTCTGGAGAAAGGCCTTTGTCTCCTTTCAGCATCTATAGGCCCAGCATTTCTTGGAGATCTTCATGTGTCTTGGCATCAATCTTCCTCTGGATCTAGGAGATTCAAAATACAGGGACCCAAAGTCCAAAGGATGCACTCCACTCCTGCTTCTTCTTAGTTAGTGGTATTAGGTCCCTGTTTTTCTGATCACATCTCTCTCCTTTTTTGTCTTATAAGATGAAAGGTGCTGCATGCCACACCCTTGGGAATATACATCGGGGAATATGCATCGCATCAGGGTCATGGTGGGTGGTGCTGTGGGTTAATGTGCTGGACTACAAAGTCAGTTTGAATTGCAAGATCAGTGGTTCAAGTTTACTAGCTACTCCTCAGAATCCCTAAACAGGGCCGCTATGGGTCGAAACTGACTCGATGCCAATAAACGGCAAGCACAACACCCCACCCTTAATTCTTTTTAAAATTTATCACATCAGATCACATCATGGGAGAATCATCACATAACTGATAAACCACTAAGAATCATGGTCTATTCAAGCTGACACATATTTTGGGGGTACACAATTCAATCCCTAGCAGTAAATGTTGTTCTTTATTTTTGGTAAACTCTGAATTATGCGTATCATCGAACACTGAAACAAATTTAATATTCTAGCACAAGGGTTGACAAGTTTTTTTTCTGTAAAGGGCCATATAGTAAATATTTTAGACTCTAGTGTAACCATTCAACTCTGTTGCTGTGGCTTAAAATCAGCCATAGGCAACAGGTAAATGAATGGGTGTTTCAATGAAACTTTATTTATGGACACTGTGATAAAACTTTAACAAAATTTTCACATGTCATGAAATATTATTTTGATATCTTTTCAGTTATTTTTTAAATGTAAATACCGTTCTTAGCTCACAGGCCACACAAAAGTACACAGAGGGCCAAATTTGGTCTATGGGTAGTTAATTGCCAATCTCTGTCATAGCCAGTTGTTGTTAAATGCCATTAAGTCATTTCTGGCTCATAACAACTCTGTGTGGCGTTTCTGAGGAGCAGCTGGTGAGTTTGAACTCACCAGCTAATCCAGGATCCAGGACTTGATAACAATGTCACACCTATGCATACTTTATCAGATGTCTGATTGACTAGAAGTGAGTGTGCTTGGTGTTGGAGAAAGGGAAGCAAAAATGTTTATCACATGCTCAAGAATATGCATGGGCACAGCCTTGCCTGAAAAAAATGTACTGTATATGTTTTACAAGATGCAGGATTCTGCTTGACTATTTGGCAGTTTAAGTCCTCTATTGGGATGGAAAGGACTTTTTAAATGCTCTTGGCTTTTCAAGTAACCAAAATGAAAATGTGAAGTAGCCAGCAAATGATCTCAAAGCCAGAACACAGCAAACAAAACAAAAAATTGAAAAAAAAAAAAAAAAAAGAGGAGCTCTTGTGAAATCAAATAAGGTCCTGGAGAAGCTATTTCTGTCCCCTGACTTCATTTGAGTTACCAAATAGTTAAATTTGTATTATAGTCACATATCTCTAAGCAAAAACTAAGTTAAGGGTATAAGAGGATGGGAAAAGCGAAACGCCACTTTCATTTATTTAATAGTCACCTTGTAAATAAATACCAGTGCATCAGATCTCAATTGCTAAAAATAGCAATTATGGAGCTGGAAGTTTTGATTATAAGGACAAGCAAACCTATGGGTGGGGTGGGAAAATGGAGGAGGGCTGGAGGGATAGCAAATAATTATTTTCTCTACTATTGAAGACCGTTCTCCTATTAATTTACAAGGCATTTCTTCTTCAATTACAATTTCTGTGATAGGTTCTGGGACCTTGTTTGAAATCACAGACAAAAGATGGGGGAAGGCAGGAAAGAGAGACTTGAGTATTTGATACTTTGTTTTCTTCAGTGCTCCTCCCACTTATCACTTTCCTCTCTGACCTATTTCACATTCTTCCCTTAGTCTCATATTCATTTTCTGTCGTTTCTGTAGTCCCTTCTTCAGTCCCCTTTTCATACTCCCCCATCTCAGTACAGCCCTTAGAAACCTCCTTTTCGGCTTGCTCATCCCTTATGGTATCTTCTCAAACCTTAGAGGAGTGATGTATAAGCTGAAACTTTGCAGAATTTAAGTGACTCTGAGCATGCTCAGAAGCTAGGACCAGTTTTGTTAGCCAGCAGCTGCCCTAGATCGACCTCTCCAAAAATAGCCATTTAACTCTGAACTCCTATTTAAGAATGTAACTCGTTTTTTTTTTTTTTGTTTTTTTTTTCTGTCTCTTTATTTTCAAGGTTTAAAGGGAAGCTGCGAGGATTCCAAGGTCCCACCGCCCTCACAGCCAATGAAGAGCCTGGGAGGGTGGAGCTTGGGGCTGCTTGGTGCAGCTCTTGCTTCTGAGGAAATCACCCCCAGTAAATGCAGTGGAGTCGGAGCTCTGCTGCATCTGTCACAGTAGAACAAAATAAAAAACAGAAGAGGAGAGACGCTGCAGACTATGGAACACTGTAGGACTTCCTGGAATATTTGCTGAGAATTCCCGAGGAGCATGATCTTTTAAAAACCAATTCTTTTTGAAACTGGTTTGGATAACTAGGAAAATGACACATATGCTAAATGCAGCAGCTGATCGAGTGAAATGGACCAGATCGAGTGCTGCTAAGAGGGCTGCCTGCCTAGTGGCTGCGGCATATGCTTTGAAAACCCTCTATCCCATCATTGGCAAGCGTTTAAAGCAATCGGGCCGAGGGAAGAAAAAAGAGGAAGCTTACCCGGCTGCAGAGAACAGAGAAATACTGCATTGCACCGAGACCACTTGTAAAACACCTTCGCCAGGAGTGAATGCAGATTTTTTCAAACAACTACTAGAACTTCGGAAAATTCTCTTTCCAAAACTTGTGACCGCTGAAACCGGGTGGCTCTGCCTCCACTCAGTTGCTCTCATCTCAAGAACCTTTCTGTCTATATATGTAGCTGGTCTGGATGGGAAAATTGTGAAAAGCATTGTGGAAAAGAAGCCTTGGACTTTCATTATCAAACTAATCAAGTGGCTCATGATTGCCATCCCTGCCACTTTTGTCAACAGTGCAATAAGGTACCTTGAGTGCAAACTGGCTTTGGCCTTCAGAACTCGCCTAGTAGATCATGCTTATGAAACCTATTTTACAAATCAGACTTATTATAAGGTTATCAATATGGATGGTAGACTGGCAAACCCTGATCAGTCTCTTACAGAGGATATTATGATGTTCTCCCAATCTGTGGCTCACTTGTATTCCAATCTGACCAAACCTATTTTAGATGTAATTCTGACCTCCTATACACTCATCCAAACTGCTACATCTAGAGGAGCAAGCCCAATAGGGCCCACCCTGTTAGCAGGGCTTGTGGTGTACACCACTGCTAAAGTCTTGAAAGCCTGCTCTCCCAAATTTGGTAAATTGGTGGCTGAAGAAGCTCACAGGAAAGGCTATTTGCGGTATGTGCACTCCAGAATTATAGCCAACGTGGAAGAAATTGCTTTTTACAGAGGACATAAGGTAAGATCGAAATTAAGGTAATGAGTGAAACATGAGACTGTTCAAGCTGCCACTGCAGTGCTAGGTACCATCTGCTATACTGTTGATGGACCCACTTCTTTTGTATTGTAGAGCCTTATGACATCTAAGCCTGTATTAAACTGGATGCTACATTACCCTTTTTAATCACAAGCTGTTAAAGAATTATCAAGTGCAAATTTTTCTAAAGTTTTATGACTGTAATAAGCAGCCTACTTAATCTCAGTTACCCAAATATGTTCAGAATTATTTCTAAAGCATTTTCTTAAAATGTAAATCCTAACCAGTAGGTAGTCCTAAAGCATTAGAAGAAAGTATATATTTAGAAACTAAGAGTAGCGCTTGTCCGTTAAGATGATATTCTTTCTGTTGTTGTTATTTCTTTGTTTGGAGTAAGGCTGTTTGGAGAGTTTTTGTTTTGTTTTTAAGGTTTTTATTGTGGATTGAGTGTTTGGAGAGAGTTTTTGCATATCTAGTCAATGATGGAGTGTCTTCAATGCTAGGAAGCTCTGGAGATTATCTCACAGAATAGCAGTTACATTGTCCTTCGTTCATGTTCAGCATCATATTTTGACACAAATACAAAGAGGCAGTGCAATGAAATTGTGTCTGATTTTGAGGGAAAAGTTCAGTTGGGAGAGTAGATGATGAGAAGGATAAAAGGAGTTCAAGAATGTTATTTTTCAAATCCTAAAATAGTTAATCCAATTATAAAAACTAGTTATAAAGGCAACTTCAGAATATTAAATATGACAAGGATTTTTGAGATGATGCATCTGAAATATTAATACAAATGAATTAGCCAATAAAATGTTGAGGTACTGTATTCTAAAATTAAAGATAGTCTTTTGATCACCAAAGAGAATTATTTAATTTTGAAGCATCGGTGATTATCAGAGGTTTTTTTTATAGCAGTTACCAACCTGAAGAAGGAAAATCTGAACACATTTAGAAATTCTACTTTAAAAGTGACATCAGATGTTATATTAATCATATTGATGTGTCATTCTTGAATCTTTGTACTCAGTAAGGCAAATTATAGCATACTGTAGGCTCCATATGGAGTCCTGTTGTGGCACTGTGGGTTAATGCACCAGACTGCAAAGTCGCTTGAACTGTTAGGTCCGTGGTTCAAACTCACCAGCTGCTCCTCGGAAACCCTATACAGGGTTGCTATGGGTCGGAACCAGCTCAACAGCACTTAACAACAACAACAACAAGCTCCTTATGTAAAACCAAAAATTCAGTATACATTGAGTCATTGGAAAAGTGACATCTAATTACATATAGAAGAGGGCTATGGAAAGTTCATGAAAAAAATGGAATTAAAAGATAATGGAATTTTTCTATAAGCTTTTTGAAGCCACCTCATATATATGTCATGAGTTTATTTTCAGATATTTTTACTGTATGACTTAATTTTAGTGGCGCTGTGGACTATGCACTGGACTGCAAAGTAGGTTGGAATTGCAATGTCAATGGCTCAAGTTCACCAGCTGCTCCTCAGAAACCCTGTACAGGGTTTGCTATGGGTCAGAGTTAACTAGACAGCACTTAACAAAAACAACGGCATTATTCATATAATCTTGAAATCAATTATGAAGCACTTATAGGTATTTTAGATTTAATGAGTGGAAAATATATTTAATGAGTGACAAAAGTTGTTTTTAATAACACAAGTGTGATGAAAACTAAATGATAATGTCTAATTCTGATATTAATCCATGTTTATTAATTATTGGAGCCATAGATGATATTATACATACTAAGTAAACTAAAATAACATGTACATATCTTTAAAGAAAGTCCTCAAATGCCTAATATTTATAGCTCATGCTGTATTCATTCTTATGTTCTTTTTCCTCTGTAGGTAGAAATGAAGCAACTCCAGAAAAGTTACAAAGCTTTAGCAGATCAGATAAACCTCATTTTATCCAAGCGTTTGTGGTACATCATGATAGAGCAGTTTTTGATGAAGTATGTTTGGAGCAGCAGTGGATTAATTATGGTGGCTGTACCGATTATCACTGCAACTGGCTTTGCAGATGGTGGTAAGAACATTTATGCTCAATCTCAAAAAAGTGTTTAAGATTATTTCTCTTGAAGATGTTCTTGCTAGTTTTGTTTAAGTGAAACTGTGTACATAGCCATTCATCTATAGTTCTTAATGGTCAGAAACAATGGCAAACTTTGCAAAGTCCAGTTAGTAAGACCAGCAATGTGAAGGAAGGAGACAAGTAGCTCAGAAGACCTTTCCAGTTCTAAGATAATTCAGAGATCCCTGATGCAATATTTCTGGGTGTTCACCTTGAGCAATTTTAATTATATCACTTATATAAAATGATTCTTTAGTTTATATTTAAATTCAAACCAGATGAAAACTTAAGAAGGAAGATAAAACAATCTCTTCCTATGCATTGTAAATAACTAAACAATTCAGTTCTGCATATCACAAGCATTTAGTCTATAAATATTTTATAACTGAATTTGCCCTAGCGTATGAATTGAAGGGGGATCACAGTGGCTCCATATGATAAGTAGTGGGTTGAGAACCACAAGGTCCGTGGTTGGAGCCTGCCAGCCACTCTGTGGGAGAAAGATGAGTCTTTCTGTTCCCTCGAATATTTATAGCCTCGGAAATCCAATACAGGGTCACTATGAGTCGAAACTGACTCCATAGCACTTAAAAACAACATCCACAGTGAATTCAAAGTTGGTTGATGGCATTAGGCAAGAAAGAATATTGTTGCAAGGAGTACTCAGTACTATAGAGCAAGGTCTTCTTTACAGATAGGAAATACAGGTAATACTTCATTAATAGGTAATATAGATAACTGCCTTTAGAGTATGATTTGGTGGTGAAAGGAATTGACAAATTGCAGGCATTTAATTGTATCATATTATTGCCTCAATAGTTTTTACCGAAATGTTTCATTCATTGAAATAACTAAGAAAAATAAGGATAAAAGGACAATGGTAAAAAATTGTTTAACACTTAAGATGAGAGTATAGGATCTAAATTAACAGGGACAGCAAGGAATTAATTAACTGAAGAAGAAGCATTTTCATCTTTTCCACAAAATAAAACTACTCTTTCTACTAGGTCATGTCAAACAGTTATTCAAACAAATAATTATTTGTTTGATGTGATACAGTAAAAGTTATAATACGCTTTTATATTTTGAAATAGTACTGATTTAATTGGTTCTTACAAAAACACTTGTCAAATTTTAGTCATTCTTAAACTGAAAAATTATTAATATTAGTAAATTAATATTTATTAGGCTTTCTTTATAGTAAATACTATATAACTCAACTGTTAAATAGAAAGTATATTAAAACCCTAGGAAAATCTAATCAATCTACTTTATATTTAAAATTTTACTCTTAATAAGTATTATTCAAAATTTATATTGCAAAAGTATGTTTTTAATTTAGTGTTTTTGTAAATTTTTTGTAACTTTAGCCTTAATCTTTTCAAAGTGAAATGAAATGAATTACTTTTTCAAAAGTGTTAGAGACAAAAGGGAACTTAAATCCTATGGATTTAAGGTTAGTTTTGCTAAGAAATTTAGCAAAATTATATCTCTCTAAGCATATGGGTGGTTTAAAGTTTTCATATATAATGAGACAAGCCAAATGACAAGATTGGTGTCGTTTTTTAGTCAGTGCTTATAAGCACTAGTCTTATTAGAATACCCCGGAGTATTCAACATAGAACAGAGAAAATGCAGCTATTAATGGTGACAAATTAACTCCACAGAGACCAGTAAGAAGTAAACAATGTATGCAAAGAACCTAACAAACTTACTTTTGTAGATGATGCAATAAGATATACAAAAATAAATCTTACAAATTCTGAAAAATACTATGCGGTAGTGGTGTGCTATGGAATCGGTTCCAACTCATAGCAACTATGAGTCAGATTCAACTTGACTACATTTAAAACAACATTGTGTTTTGAGGAGTCCTGGTGTAGTGCTATAGGATAAGTATTGGACTGCTAATCATAAGACCATGAGATCATGATGAATCAGAACTGACTCTATGGTACTTAACAACAACAACAGTGTGCTTTGGCACCAAACCAAACCAAATCCACTGCCACCTAGTAGATTCCGACTCACAGTGACCCCGTATATGGTTTCTGAGACTCTAAATCGTTACAGAAGCAGATCGCCTCAACTTTCTCCCACCGAGCTGCTTGTGGGTTTTAACTACCAACCTTGTGGTTAACAGTCCAATGTTTATCCTATAGTACCTTGGCAAATAACTCAGGTAGAACTCAGGTAGAAGCAATGGTTAAAATTTGTTGTATTCTTACCATGTGAGCTATGAAGTCAGAGTGCCTAGATTCAATTGTTAGTTCTTCTGAATACTAACTTGTCACCTTGGACAAATGATTTTCTCTGTGTCTCTTTTCCTCATTTCCCAGATGGAGGGAATTATATCAAGATTGTTACAGTTAAAGATTACATATGTGAAGACTTTATAACTGTGTTTGGTTTATAGGAAATCCTCGATGGTTGCAGACATGATTATTACCGTTCTTGTTGTGAAAGGAACATAAAGATTAGGAAGATAGAGGTGAAAATGTAGATAGGAGGAAGAGACTATAATTTCTTATTTACAGGGGGACAAAGGGTAAAAGAGAAATACTCATATAGTTACTATTTATTATACCACTACTTACAACTTCAAGTAAAGTCTCATGTAAGAACAGAACTATGTTGATGTTCAAACTCACCTTACAAAATTGCATATGGAATCATGTCATTTTCACATCAGAAGATGAACTTCAAATCATCTAGTATTCTAGAGGCCCAAACCCAAACCAAGCTCACTGCCATCGAGTTGATTCAGATTTAGAGTAATCAAGTTGGACTGGTGTTCTTGGATCAGCACTGGACTGTGGAACCGCAAGGTCAGTAGTTTACAACCACCAACTGTTCCTCAGAGATCCTATACAGGGTTGCTATGAGTCAGAACTGACTCAGCAACACTTAACAACAACAACTACATTGAACTGGCTAGAATGATCTCATAGGGTTTCCAAGGTTGTAAGTCTATGTTGGAGTAGATCATCATATTTCTTTCCTAGAGAGCAGCTGATAGATTTGAACCATCAACTTTTTGGTGTGGCATTGAAGGATAAGCACTGAACTATTAACCGCAAGGTCGGCAGTTCAAACCCACCAGCTTCTCCTCAGAAACGCTATACAGAGTAGCCATGTGTGTTAGAACTGACTTGATGACACTTAACAACAACAATCATAAGGGCTCTTCTTAGAGGACTAGGCAGATCAAGTGTTGTCTAAGGTCACAGTTGAGTAGTGGAAGCACTAAGAATTGAAAATATATTATCTAACTTTTAGTGCAGTGGGTTGGTTTGTTTGGTTGTTTTTTTGCCTTCTGCACCATTGTTGTTAGGTGCCATCGAGTCTGCCTCCATATTAGTTATATTGGAACTGATTCTATAAGGAACTTAAGTTAGCTTGAGACCGGGTAATCACTGGGACCAAATGACTGAAAAAGAGGTATTGAAATAGTTAATACATATTGCTTCTATTATATTATTTTGAAAAACTATTCCTTTTTTTTTTTTCTTTGTATTAAAAGAAAGATTAAAATTATATGAAGAAAATAATCACCTGGTAACTTTAATCTCAGTTTTTAGCATTAGCAAGACATCTTTCTTCTCTGTACATTAGAAGTGGTTCTGACAAGGCCAGGCAAAGCTATTTATAGGTCTCTCCTGCCATATCTATCTCAGTCATCTGTTGTTAATTGCCATAGAGTCAATTCCAATTCATGGTGACCCATGTGGTGCATGGACCTTTCTTCATAGGATTTTCAAGGCACTGCACAAGTGAAAATCTGTTCCAACATAGATTTACAGTCTTGGAAACCTTTCAGAAACAAACAGCTCACCGAGATCACCAGGCCTGTGTTCCAAGGCAATTCTGGGTGGGTTCAAACCACCAACTTTTGTTCAAGTAATCTAGAATTTAAGCATTTATGCCACTCAAGAATGCCACATGTTGATGTTGTTGTTAGGTGTCATCAAGTCGATTCTGACTCATAATGACCCAGAATAGGGTTTTCAAGGAGTAGCTGATGAGTTTGAACTTAGCAAGCAGGAAACACAGCATCTAAGCTACTGACACTGCCAGTAGTGTCTATATTGGTGATCTGTGATTGAGGAGTAGAGTATCAGAAGTAGCAACTCAGAAATGTTGTTAGTGGAATGGAACAAAACTCTGTCTACACCTTAGTACACTGTACCTCCACTGAGATTTTATCCATGTTGTTGTTGTTGTGCCGTTGACTCAGTTCCGACCCATAGTGACCCTGTATAGGGTATCCGAGGAGCAGCTGGTGAGCTTGAACTGCCGACCTTGCAGTTCAGATGGCTTTGCAGTCTGGCTCATTAACCCACAGCGCCACACCAGGACTTAGCTGTAATTAGCTATGCATATAAATAGCTGTACTTTTAAAAGTCAAGCATATGTGCCAACAAAGATGCAATCAAAAGTGTACCGCTCAATGAATTATTACAAAGTGAACAAACACATCCATAAAATCACCATTTGTAAGAAATAGAAACTTATCATCATCCCAGAAGTCCCCATGCTCTGCCTCAGCCTTATCTCCTTCCTTCACACTATGTTGTTGTTATTGTTAAGTGCCGTAGAGTCAGTTCCGACCAATAGTGACCTATATAGGATTTCCAAGGAGTGGCTGGTAGTGACCCTGTATAGGATTCCCAAGGAGTGGCTGGTAGTGACCCTGTATAGGATTCCCAAGGAGTGGCTGGTGAACTTGAACCACCGACCTTACAGTTCAAACTGACTTTGCAGTCCAGCGCATTAACCCACAGCGCCGCTCCAGGACTCCCCTCCACACTATAGGTACTCATGATACTGACCCTCTCACCTTCAATTTGTAGTTTCTGGTTTTGTAACTTTGTTGTATAAGTGGTATTATTCCATATGTACACTTTTGTAGAACTCCCTGGGTGGTTTAAACAGTAAACATATTCAGTTACTAACCAAAAGGTTGGGGATTCAAGTCTACCCAGAAATACCTCAGAGGAAAAGCCTGATCACCTACTTCAGGAAAGTCAGCCATTGGAAAAAACCCTATGATGCAAAGTTCAACTCTGATACACATGGGGTTGTCATCAGTCAGAGTTGAATCTAATCAAATGGACAGTGGCTTGTCTCGTATACTCTTTTGTGACTGGTCTCTTCCAATCAGCATTATTGCATATTGTTGAGTGTATTTCTAATTCATGTATTGCTATTATATATGACTATATCAGTTGATTGAATTTATCCATTTTGTTATTGATAAACATTGGTTTGTATCCAGTATGTTGGATATAGGAATAGTGCTGTTAAAACATTTTCTGTGCATATCTCTTGGTATCTAGATGCATTTCTGTTCATACTTACTTTGGAGTAGGACTGCTAGTTCACAAGATATTCAGATGTTCAGCTTTCATACATTTAGTAGAAACAGTTTTTCAAAGAAATTCTACCACTTTATATTACCCCAAGCAGTGTATGAAAGTTCTAATTGTTCCATGTTCTTGTCAATTATTAAATTTTGTCAGTCTTTTTCATTGTAGCCATTATCATAAGTGTATAATTGTACTTCATTGTGGTTTTAATTTACATTTATCTGATAACTAATGAAATTAAATATCTTTTCTTATTGGCCATTTGAATATCCTTTCTTATGAAGTATCTTTGAATCTTTTGCTCTTCTATACACTGGATCATCTTTTTATTCTTACTGATTTGTAAGAGTTCTTATATATTCTAGATATGGGTTTTTAATCAGCTCTGGGCCTCAATTTCCTATGAGTCGGAACCAACTTGACTGCACTTAACAACAACAACAAAATATACATATATTACATCTGTGTCTTGCCTTATCACACTTATTAACTTCCTTGTCTAAAGGAAGTTAATAAATTTAATATATTCTGATTTATCACTCTAACTTTTGGTTAAGTGATTTTATGTCCTGTTTGAGAAAATTTCTTATCTTAGATCTACTTAGAACTAATCTTTATAGTTGGTGTGAGGTAAATAAGGTCAAACATTTTGCTGAGAATTCAAGAAGACAAAAATATATAAACATTTAAAATAACCTTAGGTTATAATTCCAAAGGAAAAAAATACAAAGAAATAATCTTGTTAAATAGATTCTTACCTTTTCAGTGAAATAGTAACAGATACGACTATATTTAAATATATACTTATTACTATCAGACCTACAAGTAGCTGTAAAATGAGTAGCTATAATGTTAAGGATTAAATCCTTAAATGAGTAACTTTTGACAAGATATTATTTTAAACATTTGATGAAAAAATTAAAATTTAATGACCTAGGATACAAGGTCAATGAGTATTTTAGGTCATAGATTTATATCTTTGACACTAAGGAATCTGGCCTTGTCGTGGAGGTCAGGCAGTTGGCTGTGGTGTGCATGGCAAAATAGTACTGGCACTGCTCTCCCAGTACCTGCCAAAGAACAACCAGTAGAATAAAAGTCAATGAATTCTGTGGGGAGCTCTTTATTATTTTATTGCTAAAAACATGACAAAAATCCAGTAGACCTTAATATGCCACAGTAACATGTAAATTACCATGCCATATTAAAAATTAGTCCATCTGTACTAATGTTTTCCTTTTAAGAGAAGCTGTCAATGAAAACAACTTTCCAAATTCTCTTTAACCCCAAATTATAAAATCTGGTAATTACTTTGGTTGTTAGCCATATTCTTTATAAGCCCAAACTACTTGTATTTGTAGTCAGTTTGAACTGCAGAGTCGGTGGTTCAAGCTCACTAGCTGCTCCATAGAAACCCTCTTCAGGCTTGCTATGGGTTGGAACCAACTTGATGGCACTTAACAGCAACAGAAACAACTGATTGCAATTCATTATTTTGGTAGCATGCTGAGAATTCCTCAGTACTGTGTGTGTGTGTGTGTGTGTGTGTGTGTGTGGCTGAGCAATGGGCTAAATAAAATATAGGTGTTGGACTCACACCAGAAATGTTTGCTTATTCTTGATTTACAGTGTTTTATTGCCCAGATCAGCTATAAAAAGGGCAAGAATTTGGATATGGAAAGGGTTGCAAGAATAGAAAATGAAAATAGTCTCAGTTCCTAGAGATGTAATTATTCTTACTGTTCTAGAAAATTAGTAAAACAAAAGGAAGCTTTAAGCAAAATCTGTAGCGTAACATTTTTAGGAAGTTGCTGATACCAATTAAAAGTTTGTATGTGATTGTTTTAGCTACAATTTAGTTTGTGTAAAATATTTTGTTTATTTGAAAGAAAACTCAATTTTTTATAATTTGATTTTAGATTTAGAAGATGGCCAGAAACAAGCAATGGTTAGTGAACGAACAGAAGCCTTCACCACTGCTCGAAATTTATTGGCCTCTGGAGCTGACGCTATTGAAAGAATTATGTCTTCATACAAAGAGGTATTTGCATTTCTTGTCAATTTGATTAAATAAGATATGCACTGTAGTATAAGCACAAGGTCAGTGATTCAAACCCACCAGTCCCTCCTTGGAAATCCTATACGGTTGGAACTGACTTGATGGGACTTAACAAACAGCAACATATGACAATCAAGCGCAATGTAAATTACCAGGCATACTTAGTCATTTTGGAGCTATATATACCTTTTCACTACCAAATATTGCAAAGAACATATTTAACATTCAGGGCAGTAACTCCTCAATATTTTGCTGCTTCTTGTTAAATGCTGTCGAGTGTGAATCCAGCTCATGGCGATCCTGTATGGAATTTCCCAGGCTTTAAAAAATTCTTTGCGGGAGCAGAAATTTTCTCTACTGGAGCAAGTGAATGGGCTAGAACCTCTGACCTTGTGGTTCATAGTTCTGTGTTTACCCTACAGACACTTCCCATATTGTACTTCCCCTGTTGCTGTTGTTGTTATTGCTATGAGACTTAGAGCCAGTTCAAATTCATAGCGACCCTATGTAGGGTTCCTGAGGAGGCTAGTGAGTTTGAACTGCCAACATTGTAGTTCAAATCGACCTTGCAGTCTGGTGCTTATCCTATAGTGACACTTGTTGTTGTTGTTAAGTGTTGTCAAATTAGTTCCCACTCATGGTGTCTCTGTATTCCAATGAGTGGTGGGTGGGTTTGAACTGCCAGTCTTGCAGTTCAAACGGACCTTGTAGTCCAGTGCTTATCCTATAGTACCACACCAGGACTCCTACCCTTAATTAATTAATTATTTGTTTATTTATTTATTTATTTCCAATCCAAGCTTTATTAGCAGAAAGCCAGTCTATAGCACTGAGAGAATAATTTTTCAAGACTAGCCTGTCTTTCATAAAGAGCAGGCACATTCTATAGGGTAAGTAGTTACATTTCGATGTACACGTCATCTATGTCATCAATTTTAACATCAAGATAGCTTTCTTTGGAAAAAGAAACAATGAATCAACAAACTTCCTCAAACATTCTACCTTTAGGGTCTCAGCAGCTTAATTCCTGAGATAACTATTTGGGTGGGTTTAAGCAGATCCTATTCTCTTTGTCCTGGTAGGGTAGTGGTTACGAATAGGGCTGTGAACCTCACTGTCAGCAGTTCGAAACTACCAGCTGTTCTGCGGGAGAAAGATGAGGCTTTCTGCTTACATAAAGATTTCCAGCCTCGGAAACCCTGTACAGGGTCGCTATGAGTCGGAACCGACTCCACGGCACATAACAACAATATTTGAGATTTAATCACTTAACTAACTCCATTTTGTATAGGTCAGTAGATCCATGCTATTATTCCCCACTCTAACATTTAGATTTCATTTCTAAGAAATTTGCTTCAAATGAAAATAGTTACTGTGATCTCTGGCATTATTTCTTGTATTGAAAGAACTAAGCTTAGGTCATGAAACAAAACAAATTTTGCAAAGGGTGATACACCAAGGTGAGCATTGAATACAGCAACATATGAAAATTCCTGTGACAATACAAACCCTGTCCCTCACTGTTAGCATGGATTAGGTTAGGTAACTAAGACAACTGACTTTCATTATCTGCTCTAAAGATGTCCTTACACTTAGGGCAGTGATTATCTTGGAGGTGGCATTAAGGGTCTTTGACATTGTACAGGCAAGTCTGTTGATTTTCACATTTAGGGTCAAGAATTTATCAAGCATTGCAAAAAGGGATAGGGTCAAATGCTCAGCTGGACTGAACAGATGTAGATCGATACAGAAGTCAAGTAGGGAGCACTAGCTCCCAGGCGACTTGGTGATGAGACCTATCAGTCAGATCCTGTCTCTAGGGTAGGAAGGTGATGACTCTTCGAAAAGTACAGGTCTCCCCCACTTCTCCAAGTAGAGTTAGCAGAGATGTAAGAGAAGCCCTTAGTTGCACAGAGGAGGAACCATCTTGCTGGTAATTTTGCTGTGTGTTCATTAGACTGGCAGGACCAGATTCTCGCTATAATTCAGAGCTGAATTGGTTCCATTCACATGTGGAGGGGACTTACACTTAGAGGGGTGGATATCCCAGCTTGTTATGTGGGAAACCAAAACTCTGTTTTTCAAACCTACCCTTTTATTTTTATGCTATCTGTTGTTATTTTTTTTGTTTTTGGTCTATAGTATGACATATTTGTGTTTAACTTAAGAAAATAAACGTCTCTTAGTTGTGGACTCTGGTGCCAAAGTGCCAAGATTTACATTCCTGTCCCTGTATTTACAAATTATATGTCCACAATCCAGTTGTTAACCTATCTGTATTTATGTTTCATTATCTGTAAAGTGAGGGTATTTATAGCAATGATTTTGCAAACCTTTGGAAAGTAAATGCTTGTAGAATACTTAAAACATACACAATAAATGTTCACTGGTGTGGTGCTGTAGGCTAATGTACTGAACTGCAAGGTTGGTTAAAACCACAAGGTCTGTGGTTCAGGCTCATCAGCTGCTTCTCAGAAAGTGTGCACAGGGTCGTGTGGGTTGGAACCAGCTCGACAGCACTTAATAACAGCAACAATAATATTATTAGTAAGGAGCACTGGTGGTTCAGTGGTTCAGCACAGGATGGCAATGGACTGGATTATTATTAGCAATATACTGTGCAAACTTGTATTCATCTTCATGACAATTCAAACCTCAGTTACCACCAACAAAATCTTGCTATTTCACCCTCTTCTCACTTTTCCCTGCAGAGTCTGGGTTCCCTTTCCCTGTGTTCCCAGTACATCTAGTGTTTTAACTACAACAACAACAAAAAAATCCAAACTCACAGCCGTTGAGTCAATTCCAACTCATGGCAACTGTATAGGGTAGAATTGTACTGTCCCATTGGACTTCCAAGGCTGTAAATCTTCATGGAAGCAGACAGCCACATCATTCTCCCTCAGAGTCTCTGGTGGACTAAAACTGTCGACCTTTTGGTTGGCAGGCAAGCACTTCAACCACCAGTGTTTTACTACATTATCATTCTTTATCTTATTACATTTTCATTATCTTTACTACATTATCATTCTTTATCATACTACATTATCTTCCTTTCTGGTGTTTTACTACATTATCATTCTCTATCCTTACTGAGCTCTTGAAAATAGACTATCTTACTCATTTTTATATTCACAAAATATATTTTAATGCTTGGAATATAGTACTTGGTCAATAAGCATTTGTTGAAAGAATTATGTTAATTGCTGCATGGTGGTGGTGGTGGTTGTATGCTGTGGATTCAGTTCCGACTCATAGCAACCCTGTATAGGGTTTCCAAGGAGCAGCTGGTGAATTTAAACTGCTGACCTTGCAGTACAAAACAATCTTGTGGTCCAGTGCTTATCCAACAGACCATACCAGGACTCCATTGGATTTACATACAATCTATATTTTATTAATCTTTAGCTATATTCTCTTCTCCTTGGGAATTCAAGAGGTTCTTCGTTTTAAAAGAAACTTTCATTTTAGAAATTAGTCCTTAAATAATAATAACATAAAGAAATGAAATAGTGTAATTACAGACTTCTCATTCAGTTGAGACGTATCATAGAAGGCTTTAAAGAAATAATAATTACTCATTTACAGCTTATTTTTTCATGTGTGCACACAAAAGCAATACACAAATGTCAGCACTGCTGCATTTGACAGTTTATTCATTATTTAAGAGATATTTATTAGTAACGTTCCTGCTTATTGGTACCAGTTTCCTAGTGAACATTTCTCTAAGGGAATGGCCTTTGTGCTTTGCTTTTCACACAGAAAGCTGGTATTGATAGACAAGGTACCTTTTACAGTCCCCTGATAGCAAGATGCTTTCTTTAATAGAAAAACTGTAGGAGACTCAAACCCAAAAAGGACACCCTTTTCTTGAGCCTTATGAACTAACATAGAACTTTATAGCATCTTATCTTATAATACCATCTAAAAAAATCATAGATTAATCTTGTTGTTGTGCAAATAAATCAAGTTTGTCTTGAAAAGAAATGAGATTGTGGGACTTGAAAAAACCTCCAAAGCTTTTCACTGAGCTTCCTCTCAAGATAGTATCCTCTAACCAAGGGTGTTTTCTCTGGCCAACTAGAAATTTTCGCAATCTATTTGGCCCAGAACACATATTTCATAATAAGGAAAAAAATGTATCTTTACAACATAGAAAAAAAGTTGCAAGTGATTAAAGTTTTCTTGTTGTTGTTGTTGTTGAATGAACTTTAATTTTCAAATATTCTTAATTGTCTGGTAATAAAATTTCTTGTGTAAATAGGACAACATCAGAAATTTAACTAAAAGATCCTTAAGTCTCACTAGTATTCTGATATCTTTACATAACAGTTTGAATTCTGACTTGAGTAATTTTTAAAAAATAATTCTAATCAAACCTACATTGACATTCCCCCCCTCCTTTTTTTTTTTAAAGGTTTTTATTGTGGATTGAGTGAAAGTTTACAAGGCATATCATCAGTTTCACAAATTCATATACCTGTTTCATTACATTGATTATAATCCCCTCCATATACCATCAGTTAACAGTATTTCTCTCTATCCACTTTAGCTTTTTAAAAAACATACACACACACACACACACACACACACACA